GCTGGCCGCCCGCGGCACCGTTGGCTAAGATAGCTACTGTGTCGTTGGTGGATGTGTCACCGTCGATGGAAATGCTGTTGAAAGATTTTCCGATTGCAGAGACGAGTGCCTGACGGAGCAAGTAGGGGGCGACGGGTGCGTCTGTGCATATTATGCCTAGAAGAGTGGCCATGTTGGGATGGATCATGCCTGCGCCTTTAGTCATACCCGCGATGTGGTATTCTTGTTGAGTGCTTGGTAGTGTAAATGTCTTTGAGACGAGCTTGGGAAATGTGTCGGTCGTGCAAATTGCGCGTGCGGTGCCGAGCCAGTGTTCGTGTGTATCTCCTAGGTTGTAGTATGCAGTGGGTATCTTTGATGTGATCTTGTCAATGGGCAGACGTTGACCAATGACACCGGTACTCATAACGATGCTCCGGCTTCCTTTCAGGTCATCCTGCCCGTTCTTGTCTTGTATGAAGCACTTGTCAGTTTCTTTGCCCATGGATATAGCATCTTCGATGCCTCCACGTCCTGTCACCGCATTGGCGCAGCCCGAGTTTACCACGACAGCTCTGATTCCCTCGCCCTTCCTCTTCTTCAGCATATCCCTGCTGACGGTCACAGGAGCCGCTTGGAACTTATTTGTGGTGAAGACAGCAGCTCCTGCGCACGGTGTATCAGATGCGATCAGAGCAAGATCGTCGAAGCGGGTGTTCGACGCCTTGACACCAACATGTGCACTTCCAGCCTTGAAGCCCAGTGGATATGTGCCCGAGGTTGGGACATACTTCTTCTTCGCAGGGGGGATCACACCGTCACCTGGCGCAGCATATGTTCGTATCTGCGAGGTGAAAATGCGCTTTGTACGGCTGAGGAGGCGAGGGTTGGGGCGTGTGAGGGACATGACTGGATGAAACTGTCAGATGTGTTGTCTCTCGAGTCGCTGTTTGCGACAATTGCAAGGACGCAGAGACTCTCTCGTGAAGATGATGCCTGGCGGAGCCTAATGCGAGGACCAAACATACCTGGAGATGTTCTTGTACCCCTTGTATCTTTTGACTCACCCAATTGACGTCCTGCGCCCTATGAGTCTTGCGATTGAAGCTGCCCAAAAAGTTCCAGGATGCGACTTTCCGCCGTTATCGCTCCCCGCCGATCTCCACGCGAGCCAAGTCGAGTCAAGACCCTTGCGCGTCTAGAGCAACAACGCGCCCAGCGTCGAGCCCATCAAATAACAGACGAGAATCGCGTATCGCGTCATCACGACACGCTCCTTTTGCGCCAGATAGGGCGCGACAATGAAAAATATGGCTGCTGTGGGCAGACTGGCGGGGATCGACATGCGCAGGCCGCGAGCGAGTTGAGCCACCAGGGCGTAGTATTGGCCGTCCAGAGCTATGGGCACAAGACTGTCGCCGCTGTAGAGGACCACGACTTGGAAGACGGTAAGCAACAGAGTGGACACCAGCAGTGCGTATTCGACGCCTTCACGATGGCGTTGGTCGATCTTGTTCATGTAGGCATCGAGTGTGCGTTCGACGACAGGGAGGAGCGGCGTTTTCTCCGAAGTATAGGACATCATGATTGCTAACTATTGAATTGACGAGTATGGAGCACTTCGATTTATGAGGCCTCTATACATGTTATATGCTATCTACGCGCTTGGGCGGTACAAACAATGTTAGATACCAATGTTGGTTGTCTTGGAATGCGCCATATGAAACAGGCGGACCCAGTTGTTTGACATGGCATCTTGGCCTCATACTCGGCCTCGGTCTTGTTTCGTCAGCCCTGCTCCTTTGAAATTATAGATGACGAATGATAAGAACCCAGCACAACTAAGTTCTTACGAGCTGTATTAATTAGTATTGGCAGGGCATCCGGAAAGCGCCAGGTAAGGAGCCATCTTGCGAGCATTTCCTTGTGCACATTAAGCAGCGTAGAATAGCGTAAACCTACATGTGCGACAAGGTTTTGGTATGTTTGACCCTATTAAAATAGACTGGCAGCATGACATGCTGGTATAACTTGGCCAAAAAGCGGCTGTTTCGCCAACATTGCGTCACCGTGGTTGTGTCTTCCACGCGATATCTACCACTCGACATGTCCTCTGTGAAACGAGATATGTCTGCTTCGGTTCCCCCAGTGTCTCAAAATAGTCTGCCCTAGCAGCCTTGCCTACCACAGATACCACAAGTTCACCGAGTGCAGTGCAGAGGATGAAGTCGTATATTCACTGACAGCGTTCGCCTGTTGAAGCTGTTTTCTGAGGTTCTTCTGAGTTCCCTACCGAATGCAGCAAGGCAAAGGCCATCGTGGAGCGCATAATCGAACAAATCCTTATGGGCTGCGCAAACTCGATCCTCTGCTTCAGAAGTCCACTGTCCCTGTGTTTTTGTAGAAGCTAATATTCTGTAGCCTGTGATGGGTCACCTCGATCACATAGGATATGTAGAACACACCTCGTAATCGAACAAGTTTGCATCCATTCGAAGGTATGCTTGCTCCCTAGCATTTCATAATCTACGTTTCATTGTGGAATCTACGATGTGTCGTTTTCTGCCAGGTAAAGGGCAGGGAGAGGGATCAAAGACCAAAGAAGGGGACGATGTGTACCTGGGTATGTTCCTGGACAAACATTTCCGTGTCGGCCCAAGTGCGTACACATAACGCCGAAAATATGTCATCATCTCGGACATGTCGACTGCCAGAGGCCCTGTATTCTTTCGATATCCCGCAGATGCACACAGCATGTCAGCTCTTCATCTTCCCGTATGCAGGTGCGGCGAGAAACGTGGTCGAGAATGCATGTGCGTCGTTTCTGCGTTTCACCTATGGAAAACTGCCACGAGGAGATATCTTACCTTTGCACATCCTCCGGGTGAAAGAGCCGCAGACAAAGACTACGAGGAGCATATGGCGTTCGAGAGACCATGCTCAGCCTCAGTCCTGTGGAGGGACGGATGGAAGGACGAACAAGGAGACGCTACAAGTAGCGTATCCCGTGCACCACGCTAACCCTTCCGAGAACCCCAACATCGGTGTTGAAGTTTAGGCTTTCCGATATCCTAGAGCATATGGTAATTTGATATCAATCAGCGTGTTAGTCGTGTTGATCTGATTCTATGGTGTCTGAGCAGATGAGAAGATGAGCGTGATGATGACATTTGTTCGATTGGGTTCTGGCATTTGCGTGTGCGGAAGGAAGTCGGTACTTCACGATAATCTATGCGCGCAAAAGAAAGGCATGTCATGTTAATGCGAACGCAGGCGTTACCTAGGTACCGTAAGGAGAGAACAACACTTCTGATATCGTATAGGGTAGGATGCTCTGAGTGTGTGCCCCTCCTGCGTACTCACCTGGGTGGGAAAGAACAATGCGGCACTCATTGGCTCCAGTATGCAGCAATCGCTTCCGAAGGCTGTGTTGTAGGACTGTGTTCGACATTTGCGTTTCATCATTCGACCACCGGGGACCAAGCGGATTACGCAAATCGATAATAATCTAGTGGTCAGTGTGGTAGTCATCTTCGAAAGCACGGCTAGATAGTGCTTGACCGTGCTTCATTGTATTCTACAAAGGCGGCTTTGTCTGCTGGGTTTCATGTCCGCGTTCGATATGCGATGAAGGAGACACCTCATCGACATCCCTAATACACCACCAAAAGATCCTGGACATAGCATGGCCGTATCTTTTCCTGTCATTCATTACTATTCTTAAAATTTTCATTGCTTCGTTTTAGCGAAGATACATTGCCACCGAGCATGAACACTTTCCTTAATATACCTCATGTGCGGGCTCGCGCAGATACTACAGCACTAATAACTCCAACCCTCGACGCCAGCGTACCGAACGCACCACCGACTCGACCTTCAACGCAACCACCATCGTTAGCAAGGGCAGTCGCCATAGATTCAACCACATTGCCAGTCACATCAGCACGATCCGTACCACAAGCAGGAGGAATGTCTTCCGCAACAAAAATCGGTCTCGGGATGATACCCGTCATAATCGCCTCGTGCGCAATCTGCATCTTCGCCGTTTTCTGGTGCCGCAGACGAAAGGCGCGGAGAATGAGTCAAGATCTGGAATCACCACCTCCGGTCCCGGAGAAAGACTATGTCACACGCTTGCCGTCACTAGACAGTGACCGGAGAGGAAGCAAGGTGTTCGACATGGCCGCATTCAGCACTCACATCTACGACGGTCGGCACAGAGAAGCGCAAGTTCTCGGTCAAAGCAGGGAGTTTGTTCGATCGATAGATCAAAATCAAGACGATGATCTCGAGACGCTGAGGACACCGCCACGCAGCATAAAGGTAGAAAAGATTCGCTCTGGTCGAGACTCGCCCATTGATGGGTCAAGTCCATTCCGACTAAAGCGAGGCGATACCCTCAGAAGAAGCCTGGGGTCTGAAATATCAGAACTCTGGCCGTCACCACCACCAACCGCGTGGGTAAGGCGGCAGGGTATCCTCGATTCATTGCCATCATCGAGATTCGGTCGGGATATGAATAGGAGATCACAATGTAGCGCAGACTACAAGCGAAGGAGCGATGCAAGCTCAGTGTTTTAAGGTCTTGGCAAGGCTTTTTGGTTAATAGGTGGTAGATGGGCGGAAATCAGGACTGCGATAGGTCTTCTCTTACGACTGGACGACTTTTGTAGTGGTTCACTATACCCCATAGGTTACAGGCGTCCAGGTTGGGGATACCTTCATTCACTCACTTTTCTCTGTAAACATGTTAACAATTGAATTATTATGTTCTGGTCAATAGACACACCCTATGCTTTGTTTTGACCATCATGTTCTCAAATGCGTCCATGTGTACGATCTCTCTGGCCTGTCCGATGCGGCATCTAGAGGTGTCGTGCCTGTGGATAAGTCCTTGCTCTAGTGTGAACGCATGTGTGCGTGCTTTGCAGTCCTCCCAAGCAGTGTCTGCAGAATATCGAGGGCGTCTTCGCCTTGGGTGAAAGTATGACTATCTTCGCACGTTCTCCTCATCATGGTGCTCAGTCACTGGAAGCGCATCCTCTGCAGCCGCAGTTTACGCATTGTATTTCCTGGTTCTCTTTGAGCTGATCCCTAGGGACACGGCAGATACAGGTCGATCGGAAGTTTGTCTCTTTGGTCTGAATGCAGCGGGTGCAGCATAGCTATCACTGAGTTAGTTTGATTTGGGCTGGCAAGCTGCGTGGTGAGAGTTGTCCTACCTTCTCGTAGCCTTGCTTCTTCCACTTGGCAATCAACATGGCGTCCGCATATCCGTTCTTGAGCAGGTAATCGTATAGCTGCTTGGTGATAGCCTCCTTCTCGTAGTATAGGTCGTATATGTAGCGCGAGCGTTGGTGGGTGATCTGGAAGATGGGCCACGTCATTTCGTACTTCTTCTTGCCCTCATGCGATGCATTCTCAGCATCCTTCATCTTGTTCTGGAACTCGAGGAGTGTGTCCTCGATGTCATCGAAGCCCTCTGGCGGGGCCTTGCGCGAGGCGCGTGCGGTGCGGACTGGAGGCATGGCTGGGCAGGCTGTGGAAGGTCGACCGTCACGGGTTTGGCGCGTGTGTCAGCGAGAGTAGCTTGTGTGGCAGTGGAAGCGGCCGAGCTTGGGATTTGCTGCAATGACGTTGTCGGTGAAGGTGATTTCGAGAAGGAAGCGATGGATAACTTCGCGACTTGCGCCGGGAGTAAAATCCGCGCTAACGTCAGGTCTTGGCACTCCACTCCACCCGCGAGCCGCATCGTCACTGCAACTCAAGCTGCGAGACGACTGGAAGCTCCGCAACACCGCTAAAATGGTCATCAACCCCACCTACCTCGCTCAGCGCACGCGCTCATGTCAGTCGAACACGCACACGGAACATTGGACGAGCACAAAGGCTAACACGGGCACAGCGGTCAACTGGACTGATGCGAAGAAGAGGGTCATTCACAGCTACCGGGACTGGCTGCGGTCGGTACGTTGCTTCCCGGTCCTTGGAACTTGACTAGGAGGAACGGGTCCTAGATATTGGACGTGTACGCGGAACAGCTGGAACGAGACGAGGGAACGCGTGAGATGCGGAGACAGGAACCCGGACTGACTATGATTATGCAGGCTCCCGAGATCCAGACCATGTACTCGCTGAACATGCCAGTATCTACACTTCGGACGAAAATGCGGCAGGAATTTGAGCGGCATCGATACGTGAATCAACTAAAGACGGTGGATGTACTGCTGTTCAACAGTCACCAGGAGTTCCAGGTACACCCTGACTCACTATGTTTGATACTCTGAGGGCATGTGCTAACAAACGCACAGGAGACGCTCAACTTCTGGAAGCAGCTGTCCCACGTTCTCAAGTACTTCCGTGCTGAGGAAGACCCCAAGGCCCGGCTACCAAACAACTTCATCAACGGCTTCTTGGAGGTACGTTCATGTCTGATTTGAACTCCGGGGCTGCTCGATGCTAACATGCGCACAGGGTCGCAACTGATTTGACTATTACTACCAGAGTCCAAGAACAACCAAGAACAAAATTCGGTGTATATAGCTGAAGTCAATACCATTTTCCTTTCCCTTCGCCGATGAACTATGCTACCCTTTAACGCCGGTAATGCAATGCTATCATAACAGCCGCGTCGCGGGCCTACTCCTCCATCTTGTTGACAAAGTCATCACGTGCAATGGTGAATTTCTGCTCGACGACATCACACATGTTCATGAGATCCTCCAACCCTTTCTCAAGCACAGTGTATACACTGACGCCGTCTACTTGATTGTTAGCTGAGCGCTCAGGACGATCTCGTTTGTATGACCTACCATATGTTTGGATGCGCAAGTTCATCTTGGCTTCCGAGGGATGCGGGATAGAGTAACCGCAGAACTCGACGTCGGGGCTCGAAATGTCATCAGCTATTTGTCAAGTTGCAACGACTTGTTCAACTTACTTCTTGTGAATGATGTATCGCAACGCGTTGCCTAGAGTATGATCCTCTCCATCAAACTGGAAAGACGCGGCGGTTTCCGTCGCGCCGGAAAGCTATAGCGAATTAGATACGGTGTACTTGAACACTGGTCTAGATCCAACGCACGACTCTGATCCTGTCGCGATCAACTGCTGGGTCGATCTCCTCGTTGTTCTCAGAGGTGGGATCTATGATTGGAACTTGGGTAGGTTCTTGTGTTGTGCCTGGCATTTTGTTCTTATTCCTTGCTCTTTATAGCCAGCTGGCGGTAGACGAGGGACAATGCGCTGAGAGTTGATTCTGATCCCAAGTTTGATCCTAAAGATGGGTCGTGACTTTGCGATATCAAAATTTTGGGGCGGACTTTGGTTCGGCGAATCGTTGGTTGGCCAGACTTTTTCAGCCCTATATCGCTTGGCAACATGACGTGGGGCGTGGGGAAGCCCGTCTGAGTCCGCCTCAACTTTTTATGTCTTCACTTTGCCATTGGTAAACCCGAAGCACCCAAAAACATACATACCCCTCGGACACCACCGCCAAAATGCCGCGCACCTGCTGCCTCAACCGTGATACCAACGAGACAAAGATCCAGGTCTCGATAAACCTCGATGGCGGCGACCTCTCCCCTTACGAGCACAGCGACTTCTGGGCCGCCTTCGACAAGGAGAATCTCAATGGCGAGGGTGAGAAGGTCGACAAGGACCATGCGACCCAGAAGTCGGCGTCTCAAGAAATCTCCGTCGACACGGGTATCGGCTTCCTCGACCACATGATTCACGCCATGGCCAAGCACGCTGGCTGGAGTCTGCGCATACGGTGCAAGGGCGACCTCCACATTGACGACCATCACACAAGCGAAGATACCTTTCTGGCCTTAGGTACGGCCTTCAAGAATGCGTTGCAGGGAAGCACGGGTCTTGCTCGCTTTGGACACGCGTACGCACCGCTCGACGAGGCACTGTCGCGAGCCGTCATCGACCTATCGAACAGGCCATACAGCATTATTGAATTGGGTCTCAAGAGGGAGAAGATTGGTGATTTGAGCTGTGAGATGATTCCCCATTGCCTGCAAAGCTTCGCGCAAGCATCTGGCACTACCCTCCACGTCGACTGCATACGCGGCGACAACGACCACCACAGGGCCGAGAGCGCTTTCAAGGCACTTGCAGTTGCTATCAGGCATGCGACAACCGTGGTAAAGCAGTGGGAGGGCGAGGTCCGCAGTACCAAGGGCGTACTCTACTAAACACCAATACAACTAGATTACATCAATCTAACTTACAGAATTGTACAGAGCACGGTTATATTACCATAGAAGCTCATGTTCAATCGTTACAAAACATACCTTAATAGCCCGATGACTTATCTTCCGTACATCAGTCCATAGCCCTGAAAGTCCAGTGTCACAGCATGACAGGTATGTAAGGCAGTAATGACACGGACCGCCCAACATGATTTGCAGTGAGTGCCTGCTGGCACCTACGTCACACAGCAAGGAGGAAGTCGGTGTTTCAAGAGTAATGTAGATATAGGAACATTGCGCAAGACGGTACCCTAATCCATGCATAGTAAAGTTAGACCGAGTACGGCGTGAACACGCTAACTACATACAGGCACTTAATTCGCCGAGTCTTCAATGTCTAATGAGTAATCATTTTGCTCGATGAGGCGGCTTAGCTAGACACCTCCGGTTAACCCCAGGGTCTTGGCGAAACAGAACTCCTCAAATAGTTACTGTAGATTTAACTGTAAGGCATCTACCCCACCCTCTAACTCCCAGTATGAGGCCAAAAAGAAAGAACGTGTGCCAGAATTGTAGAGCTAAAAAGCTTGCCGTAAGTCCTTGTCGTTGCTGTGCAGGTACGGGGTTGATCCGCTAACGATGTTTGAAGTGCGATGGCGCGCAACCAGAATGCTCTCAATGCGTGTTTAAACAAATCCGTTGCAGCGGATACAAACAAGAATTCGTATTCGTGGGTAACACCACTGTCAACACCAACGTTCGCACAGAACCAGCACAAAAGAAGAAGACCACGTTTGCCAGGTCCACGGTGGTTCTTGATACTCATACACTTCACGCTAAGAAGACTCAACGAAGCGCCTCACCTTCAGACACCACGGGACCAGTCCTCCCCGTTGAGGCGAGCATCGTTGAGAGTCAATCCTGTTATGACCTTGAAGACGACATTCAATTCATCATGGAACAATTTGCACCCGCTGATGAACATACCTCTGGAGAACCTAGTTTGTCGTATAATCAAATCTGCGGGGCATGGATTAATGTTCTTCCACTCATTGCCAAAAACAGAAGCAAAGATTACCCCCTAGTACCTGCAATTAGGGCGTTAGCCTCTGCGCTCCGCCGGCACTCCGATGTTGATGTCGATGGACAAGGGTGCCGGCCCCGGATAGTCGAGGTGTACTGCGAGTCGCTTAGGCATATGGGCAGAGCAATAGCAGAAGCGCGAGGCGCATCGAGCATCGAGCACATTACTGCGATCATGTGTTTAGCAGATACCGACGTATGTTTCCAATCCGCTGCATACTATTCGTCGTCTGGAGGCTAACGTAGTGGGAATGAAGATCATAGCCCCAGAGTTAAAGTCCGGTTGGATGACACATGTAAGAGCTGTTGGAGACATGTTAGAACGACTAGGACCTACAGCCTTCAGCATTGGAACAATGCATACGATGTTTATTGGGTTTAGACCTCTGCTTGTAGGTTACAAACGATTCTTATAGGTGTGCTGAGCACAGGACTAATCATTTTTGGGGGGTTGTCTAGCTATTGAGCTCGATACTCCACCGACATGGAACATTTCTTGCGCGAGAAGAATGGATCACTGAGCCGTTTCAAGGACAACCTGTGTCCATAATCCAGCAGCTTCTGAACAGAGCCTGCGGTCTTCCGGCACTATTGGAGAGATTCTGCGAGATCAATCACATATCGAGCCTTCCGGACCTTGTTACGGTTAACCAGCTTGAACAGGATTTTCACGCCGTCCTCTCCAGACTTCGGGAGTGGGAACAGACGTTCAAATCCCAAGTGTCGCATCCTTTGTTTTGGTCAAGGTCTGACCCCGAGACTTGGTCTTTACCAGGTGCGAATGCTCTCTGGTTTCCGAATATGATGACAGCAACTAGTCTCACGCATTATTGGGCTTTCGAGATTGTTGTGAGAACACATATCAGCGCTTTGCACCAGATTGCTTCTACAGCAAAGGGACATAATTCTCAAACCCACACAAATGTATACACGGAAGCTTCTGCGGAATACTCACTTTTAGTTCTGGCCGATATGATCTGTGACAGCACCTCATATCTCCTGCAGCCAGTATTCAAGTATCACGGACTCTGGTCTGCTTTCTTCACCCTTCCTACAGCTTTGCGCGTGTTCAGACAAGAGCAGGTTCTTAGTAGCAGCCGAGCCAGGCGCTCTCAACGGATAGCCAAACTGCTAGCTAGCAGAGATGTTTACTTCCCGGAAAACTACCTAGTTCAAAAGATTTCATAGTTATATAGCTTCATGCATGTATGTGTAACAATCCGTTATCCAATGCTAGCGTGAAG